AACAAAATAAATTCAGGTGAATACTCCCTAATGATAATCTAAAGCTTACTTCATTCTCTCATCTGCATCCAGAGTTGCCTAGCAATAGCCCTTGGTTGGAAAGAAAGGTTGGCAACTCTAAAAATGTTTCAACACTAGCTCTTACGTCACATTTAATTGCAATTTTATCTCTCAGTTTCCTGGTATGGATCCTTGCATATTCTGAATATATATTGGCACTTTTCACCTGGAGTTTTTTTTAGTGGTCCTTAATAAAACTGAAACAGGAAAGCTATGTTCATAAATAGACAAAAGTTGTGCACTGAGTTACATATGGTAACTGTTCTGTGCTCACATAAGTTTTTCCAACTTTCCCTTCCATAAAGGAAATCCAGACACAAGTATGCATCTCAAGAAATGCGAACTGGAGGAGCTATGGAGACTACTATTTGACCTGATATTTATGCTAAGGGATGAGTTTTGTTTTCACATGCTTGGGAAATACAGGGAGTGGTGGGGGGGGGGGGAGCTCTGTGTCCCTCTGTCTTGCCCCACAGTCACAGCCTTCCATTTTCCCTGTCCTCCACCTCCCCTAATCCAACCTGCTTCACAGAAGCACCCCCATTAAGTCAGTTCCTTTTCTTCTATTCTTTCACAACTGATGGAGCTCAAGGGGAGAGGCTGGGAAGAAGCCTGGTTGAGCTCCCAGGTGGCCCTGTATTTATACCAGTCTTTTCTGAGCTCAGGTCGTCTGCTTTAACTGTGCAACACCTTACCTTCTGGGTGCCCTGAAGAGCTCCTGTCACTCTGATCCTAGTCAAGTAATATCTTCTCACCTTGATTTCCCCATCTTTAAATGAGCTCTACACCATGCTATGAAATCATTATCTAACAGTGGCACTTACTTCTGAGTAAACATGCATAGTGTTGTATTGCCAAGGACACACAGAGCCTCTAAGGAACAGGAATAACCTTTTTCCTGTGATGAAGAATTCTTGCTATGACAACAACGACGACAAAATAGAATGCTCAGGTTAATTTTTAATATAAAATAATGATTACCCCACCGTTTCTGTACTCATCGTTCCTGAAATCTGCATTCCACACAAAGAACCACACAGTGTTTAAACAAGCACTGATGGATGTGCTGTGAACAGGGAGTCCTGCTGTGTTTCGATTTCCATTCTGCAGCAGGTATGACAGTTCTTTCCAGGATATACTTATTTTCCAAAGTAAAGAGCCTGGCTGAAGGTCAAGTATGGATGGAGAAACCCCCCCTCCCCTCCAATGTACCTTGTACTCTCTTCCTGCCCAAATATACGGTTCCTAAATAAGCTGTTCATAAAAAGTCTGGGAACTGACTCTTGTATCTTGGATTTGCCAGTTAACATTTGACCTTCTGGCAAAATCCTTCTGCAGTTTTTCTAGTACCTCTTAAAAGTGCAGATTTTTTTTATTTCCAAAGTCTTCCCTGGGGTTGTGGGGGTTGTGTGGGTAGGTCTTGTCCCTATGGTTTTGCCTTAAAGCCAAAGCCTGAGCATAGCCCCCCACCCCAATTTTCCTTCATGATCCAGGCGATATGTCTCTTTTTGTGAGCCAATTATTATAATATGATACAGCGATCTTTCTGGAATGTCTAGAATGAGGAAGCAATCAGGTTCTATCCCCCACCTATACACACTCATTTCCAATAAAATGATATAAACTCTCAGTGTATGTGCAAAATTATACATGTAAGAATGTAATCCCACGAATGCTTAAACAGAAAAAAGTCTTACAATGCCAAGGTTTACATCTGAGAATTGTAGGATGTTTTCCTGACTAAAAATCACCTGGATTGCACGCTAAGGCTCAAAAACAAAAAGCTGTGAGCTGAAGGCTGGAAACACCTTGGGGTGCCTCTCTCCTCTCTAGAGATCCGTGTCATAGTAGATTTGCTTCTCGGCAGGAATGTGTTTGCTGCTTTCCTCCACCTGTGCTTTACTACTTTTATCATTTTTGTAAACAAACCAAGTATTACAAAATGTAATGAGTCTGTAGTGATCTTTCTTCCAAAGAAAGTCGAACCTATGTGGTGCTGCTCCTTGAACTTTTCACGGCTGCAGAAGTGGAGAATGTGCAACAGAATGGTTAAACATCTCTTTGGATCCATCAAATATAATTAGATATGATTTTCTTACTCATCTTTCTTTGAACAGTTTGAACACTGACACATAATAGGATTAGTCAGGTTTTCTTCTTTATTTTAATCAACAAAGCATTCTTACAGATAGGAATGGTGCAAAGATCGGGGGCAGGACATATTAGATGGGTGGGCAGGAATTGAACCCTTGATCAATGCCATTTGGGAGCAGCAGAAGCTTCTAAGCATCCTCCTATTTCACTCCATGAAGATGTAGTATTCTAGACTAGTTAAAAGACACACACATCAGCTCCCTTCAGCATTGGCAGGAATGCAATGTTCAAGTTGCTGTCATTGCAAATCCCATGGTTCCTCCCTCCACCAGAGCACGATTTGATAGGCAGAACCATACGTAACATATACAGTACTGCAAAGAGAACATTGCTTAATATCTCCCTTTCTCTTGAGAGTCATACACCCGCAAATAGATGGCTACTTGATGATGTTTATTAGGTGATTTAAGTCTGATTCCCTAGGGATAGATGTTCACTTCTGACTGTCTCAACAGAGAGAATACAGATTGGATTTTCTCAGCTATCTATTGTATTATCTCAGTATAATGGAATGGAAGAGGAAGGCAAAGGTTACCTATGTATGTTGAAATGAAGAACTAAGGCTTTTCACAGTATGAGATTTTGTATTTAAAGCATTCATGTGGTATTATTAGTTAAAATGTGTAGGTATGTGCATTACCAAGTTTTCAAACAGAGCACTGCTAATAGGAAATGAAACTGGGCCTCCTTCATGCTGCAGTTGTCCACATTTCTCTGCAAGAAGGAATGCACAGGGTGAAATACCATGCACATTTTGCCAGAAAATAATCCGACAAGTCCCAGAAACCATGCTTTCTGTGGAATTCTGGTAGTTGAACTGCTTTTTTCTCCTATAGCAACATGCATCAGGCCATTATTTTAGATCCTTTTTAGGTCTTACAGCAGGATGAGCATAGACCGAAATCTCGTTTTAGACTTCAGGTGATGTAAGAGATCGGCAAGGATGTCCAACTCACGATTGTTTACCAATAACAAAATTAAAAGCCTTTCTCCCTGCTTAACTTAAGCTTGCTGAAGTCAAGAAAGCTGGTGGGGGAGCAGGGGCAGATTTTATGTGAAAAGTTCTGCATGGGAGCACTAGTTCAAGTATGACATTCTTGAGCTGAGCATACATTCAGAAGTGCCTTGTGCCTCAATTCTGTCATTCTTCCTGAGGTGCCATTTTACAGTTATCTCTGGCAGGTGGACCTCAGGGTTCTAGTGCAAAAACAGTGTTGATTCCACAAGCCCAAGCCAAGCATACAGTGCCAACACAAGCCAACAATTCACTGAAAACGGGAAAACTGGATCCCATAAGTATAAGCTGAGAACAGAAAATGAAGAGTTTGGAGTACTGTAAAGACTACTCCATTTATATTGCATAAACATTTGCAGGCTATAGCCTGCTTCATCAAATGCAGAAGCTACCAAATTCTTGATCTGTTTCCTAGAAAAAAGGGAAGTACAGATCAGTCACATTGGAATGTGACAATTATACAGCATATATCCCCGCCTTTGTGTGTGGAGTGCTGCTTCTAAAAGCTCCATGGCCGGCAAAAATATAACAAGGAGTCATCTTGGGGCACCTTGAAGATGCCTTCAACAGGGTGCTCTGCAGATGTTCTGGACTTCAACTCCCATTATCTGGGGTGCTGTAGCTCCAAATGGTCTAGGGGTGATGGTCTAGGGGAAGGTTTAAGGACTAACAGGGTTATTGAAACATGAGCTTTTATGGGATAGAATGTCTATTTCATCATGACATAAGTCTATGAAAGCCCATGCCATAGTAAATCCGTTGTCTTAAGGAGCCACGAGATTCCTTTGTCATTCAAACAGCAGGTGCCACTTTCCTGGTTACTCCATCTTTAGACTGGGGAAAGGCTGCAATGTTTATTCCCATGCATCTTTCAGCTCTCCATGGTGCAATCCTATGCACAGTTAGACAGAAACAGGTCCTGCAACGACCAGCTGGGCAGGGTTTGCAGGGACGTGCAGAGCCTTTATTTCCGCCCGAACCTGCAGCCTGAAAGTTTCAAGAGCCCTTTCAGGACAAGAAAAACGGAAACCTGAAGTGTCTCTCACCCGAGGGAGCGCCCATTTTTCTTATCTGCCCTCAGAGCACCATACCCGCGGTCTGCCACACACTATTTTCCTAACGCGACGGCGCTTCCTGCCTCAAGCCTTGCGCCACTTTTGTTTCGTGGCCCGGGCCACGCGCGCGTCCCGCTTTGCGCGCTGGACCGCCCGGGAAAGTGAGGATGGGGAGATGCTCCGGTTCCCCACCCCCACGCTCGGCCAAGGGATTTTGAGCGCCCCGTCTTTCTTCCCGAGCCGCTTGCTTCCCCCAGGCTGAACAAGATCACCTGCGGAGGCCTGTGCACGGGCGCGGAGGCCAACAAGGGGAGCCAGATTGGCGGGAAGCGGCCCTCGGAGCTTCGAGCGCTGCTCTCTTGCTTTGGGTGGACGTGGAGGAAGGGAGGATTCTGCACCGGCCGCGGCTGGACTTAACGGAGTGAGAGGAAGGGGAAAGAGAGGAACGTGGCTCCTCGTCGCCCCCCCCCCGCCAGCCCCGCTGTCGCCGTCACCGTCGCCGCTCCCTCTCCGCTCGTGCTCTGGTGAGTCACCGGCAGGTCAGGAGGATCGCGCGGGAAGGGAGCGGCACAAAGGCAGGGGCGAGTTTGCCGCTGGGAGCCGCCACGAGCGCGGCGGAGCGGGAAGCTCAGCCAAGCCCAGCCGCCGTCTGCCAGCGAGCGAGCGCGCGAGCGCGCGCGAGGCAGAGCGGCTCTCTTGCCAGGCGGCCGCTGCCGGCGGCGTCTCCGCCTCCTTCCCCTCCAGGTGGCTCCCTCGGAGCGGGGGAAGAGGAGAGGAGAGGAGAGGAGAGGCGGGCAGGCAGGCAGGCAGAGCGAGCGTGTGGGCTCCCGCAGTCCCGCGGCGGCGGGGGAGCGTCAGCCAGGGGATCCAGATGCGAAGCAGTCGCTGGCTGAACAGCTGCGCCCTCGCCTTCGGCAAGCAAGCCAGGTACAGCCCAGAGGAGCCCCGCGGGTTGCCAGTGCAACGGGGAGGGGGACCCTTACCTCCGCTGCAGCTGCAATGCACCAGCGGAGCAAGTAGCCCTTTATGTCTGGCACAGTCGAACATGCTTCTTCCAGAAGTGTGTGTGTGTGTCCCGGGTGAGCGCGGAGGGTAGGACTGGCGCCTCCGACGCACCTTCGTAAGTTAGTTGACTTTCGTTCGGGGTGGGAGGAGGAGGTGAACCCGGCGCTTGGCACGGCTCAGCCTCGGCACTTTCTTTCGATCGATGCCTGGAATGGGTGAGGTAATGGTAAAAAGGTGAGCGCCCCTGAGCATGTGCTGATTTCATTCCCCGTCCCCACTTCCGATTTAGCTGGAATGAGGCTTTTTCTCCACTGTAGGGTGTGACTTCTAGGAAGCGTTGAAGCCCAACTTAAGGTTTCTGCAGCTCAATTCTACATGCGCCTAATACTTACTCAGAAGTGAATGTAGGGAGGGTTACAGCCAGGTAAGTCAGCGTAGCATTGGACGTCGCCTTAGACCCCAAATATCGACCATTCGAACGATCTCAGATGCTGTAACTGGGGGGTGGAGGTGCTTTCTTTTGAGTGGCCGCTGCTGTTGCTCTGGAGTAAGTTACATATGATGGGTGGTTGTTGATCAGAGAGGAAATGAGTGGCTTGGATTTTTGGCTGCCATTGCTTTGGATAGCTGCCTGGTCTCAGCACGGTTCAGTCCCAAACCTATTCTCTGTGTCAGCGGTCATTCCTGGAGGAGCACGTGGAGTAGCGATGATAAAAGGGGCAAAGGGCTTCTAATCATGTGCAAAGCGTTTTCCGTTCCACTGAGTAACCGCTGCCGGGCCCTCCTGTATTTGAGATTAAAAGGTGGCGCTTCTAAGGCAGTGCATGTAGCAATTATTTTCGTACGATCTTTTCTTTCGTGGAACGCATCTCGGGTGAAATGAAAATAGTGTTAGATCATAAGTGCACAAAGTCCCGAGGGGTGTGTGAAAATAACTGTCTGCTCGCCGAATGTGGAAGCGGGATATGGCAGGTACTGGAAGGAGAGGACCCCAGGCTCTTTCTGGATGTAAAGTTGCAGCCCTGGCATATGCTATGTGGGAAAAGAAAGTGTCCCTGAGAATATGTAGAGTGCGTTTTGTTCGTCAGCCACAACCATCTGCATATTTGAGATTATGGAGAAGGGCTTTCACGCAGGTTTGGGTCCTGGCACCTGCTAATTAGGGGGCTGGGGAGCAGAACTGGTCTCCGTGGTTGGATTTTGGATTCACTCAAGAGGTGAAGTGTGGGATTTGATAGATGCTTTGGTTCCTTCACGGAGTGGCGTAAAAGGGACTCTTCCTGATCAACGCACACGTAATTTTCCGTACACTTTACAAAAAGAGGGAGGGAGGGAGGGAGGGAGGAGCTCGTGGAAGGAGCCAAGAATAGGCCAAATCTTTTTTCTAAGAGATGATTGAAATGGGATCCCGAATGATTCAGGCATGACTTTCCCTTACGGAGAAGAACTGAAGTGGCGAGAGGATGCTGTGGAACGCAGCTTGCTTACAAAGAAGTTTGGCTACCCGCAGTTTGACTCAGCCTGACGGTGGCGGCAGCTGCGCTATCACCGCTGGCGAAGAAAGAGCTGGGAGGGCTCTGGAGGCAGGCGAATGAGCTCCGGACCTCAGCAAGCGCCCTTTCAGGCAACCTTGCCCAGAGAGGACAATTTCTTGCTTTTTTCTGCAGGTGGACGCTTCTCTTTGCAAGCTTGCCTAACTACTGGGCTCCTGAGAAGACAGTGTGTCGCTGCCCCTCTATTTAGAAATGTAACTGGCCGCGTGCGTGTGCATTCCAGTGCATTCCCTGCTAGGAACCAAACCAGGAATGGGTGACAGTGAAAATAATTTGAACCACTCCATAGGAGAAGCCCCCCCGCCCGCATTTGCAGTGCGACCGGAACTTCTGAGTGCACCTGAGTTTCATGCCAATTGGGATGTTATAATCTAGGAGAACAGAATACACTTGCTGTCAACTAATGGGATTAAAACTGGTTTAACTCAAAATACGGTTTTCATAAAATTATCTTTATCATGCAAGTCTATGGGCCTGTGTTGAAATAGGAGAGGTGGGTTGTGGCATGTAGCCAAAATCTCTATATTTCCATCCTTGTTTAGTCAAACTCAGTGAAAACCCTAAATGTTTCTGTGAGGAAACTTGCTCCTTAGGCAATGCTCTGACAAAAAACATTGTAAGAATATCCGGGTATTAAGACTACTGCATTCTCTTCAAGTTAGGGTTACACCTGTATTGTTAAAGTGCACATCAACAAGTGTCCACACACCTTTTTCTGGCCTAACTTAGCCAAGTTGTTGAACAAAATATTATTTCATTTTGTCAGACCTGAAAGAAATATGAGCCAAAAACAAACTGTCAGAGTTATAGCTGTAGTGAATACCCATTTGTGAATAAGGAAAGCAGGAAACTTTGTGTCCCAAATTAGTGTGCATGTAAAGGTTCTATTAAAGCACTTTTGTATTAGGGGGTGGTTGCTCATTTGGCCTAACAATCTGATATTTGCACCATAGAGAGAACATTTCTACAAATCTTCATTTCATGGTTGTAAACAGTTTGATCCACTAATACCATACAGTATTATCTTACATAAGTATTCCTGGAGACAAGACCCATTGAGTTCAATGCTGTAAAGCTTGCAGCATCCATTTAAGGAAAAGCCACCTAGGAAGGCCATTTGGCAGTTATAGGCAGTATATAAATATGTGCATAGATAAATAATAGGTATCTCTTTAGAAGGTCAGATGCTGAAGATGAAACTCAAATACTTTGGCCACCCAATGAGAAGGAAGGACTCATTGGACAAGACCCTGATGCTGGGAACAATAGATGGCAAAAGGAGAAGGGGATGGCAGGGGTTGAGGTGGCTAGATGAGGTCGCTGGGGCGGTGGGTATGGGGTTGGGTGGACTCTGGGGGATGGTGGAAGAGAGGAGTGCTTGGAGGAATGTCCATGGGGTCCTGCTGGGTCAGGCATGACTTTGCAACTGAACAGAACAGATCTCCATCTGCCTATTTCTATTGCAATATGTTGGCTAGAGCAACTGATGGACCGAAATAAGGTTCTCTTATAAATAGATTTTTCTATGAGATTTTCTTTGTACTGCTTTCTGGTGCATGTTGTACGTGAATTATTTGAACATCCTGATTTCTAATCTATACTGTTGAGATCAACAGCACTGGTTGTACAAAGATGAGAAGGGTTCACAGTTTTGATCTTAAACAAGTATTTGGAAAGTTCCAGTGAAATAGGTGTGACAAGAAAAACCAGAGAGACTAGGTACACTGGGAGTGAACAATCAAAAGAAAATTTACAGTTTATTCCGACATTCGGAAAATACATGTGACATGTAGCTAGCCCCAAAGGGACTACAGAGATGGAGTCTGTACAAGATGTAACCTACCAGTTACATACACAGTTTGGAAGAGCAGAGGGGGATTACGTACACAGTTTGCTATAGGCACATGAGTGTAAAACAATAGGGTTGAATGGATTAAGACAGCACAGCACAAAAAGAAGAACCTTCAGGACAGGCAGATATCAGCATGTCTAAGGTGTGCTCTCCAAGGAAGACCTTTCAGGAGAGGCACATTAGCACATTTAAGGTGTCTGTGGGGAGCAGGACTTGCCACATGGGTTCCTGATCAGATCAGACCTTAAGCCTAAAGCTGTTCTTACAGTGTCACATTTTTAGCAGCCATATTATGGCAGAGCTGTTGCTCATCTAGTTCTTACAGGTGTTTCTGAGGAAATGGGTAAGAAACCTGTCTCTGGGAGTGGTTGCAGATATTTGCAAGAGCAAAATAGAGATCAATTTCATTGGCAATTGTTTGTAATATTAAATCTGGATAGGAGACGCTGCTTGTGCTTTTGCCTTTTGGGCTATGCTTAGTGATACTAACATGTTAAACAGGCTGCATGCCTTTGATGTGCGGCATATTTCTGCAGGTATGTGCAAGTGGCTACATAACTTCTTGTTCTTACGTTAAATTGTTGGTATGAATTGTGGGAGTAATGTTGCAAGGATGGTGTGCTCCAGGTGTAAGTGGAATGTAAGGTGCGAAAAGATACATTTTTGTATATCATTGTCCTTGTGTGCTTTTCCTGGTAATGATGACAACATTGGCTCCAATGGACACTGTTATTGTCTCGATTTAGTCATTCCAAGGAACAATGGCATGGGTGCAACAGGTTCTTCTGGATGTTGTGGCGGACCTGGGAACTTTGTAGTTTGTGCATCCCTTAGGATGCTAACTGCCTGCCTGGGGAATGCTGAGAGCTGTAGGACCTTTTCCATTTTAACATGCATAGAAGTGCATTCTAAGGCAATTGTCCCCTAGTTAATTGTATCAAAATGAATAGGACTATAGTTAGGGACATGACTTGTGTAACAGAAAATAGGTCATGCCAAGATGGTGCAGGGGACATTTAAAGCAGAGAAACAGGAGATAGGAGTTGGTGCTGAGCTCATTCCACCAGCATTTTGCCCTCTAAAATCCCCCCTTGCAGCAATTTTTCTCCTAGAAGGGAAGGAGTCAAGAAGGCTGTTGGGTCCAACCCCCTGCTGTTGCAGCTCACCAATTTACACCATCCCTCTCAGATGACTGTCCAGTTTCTTTTTGAATGTTTCAAGTGTGGGAGAGCCCACAACCTCTTTAGGCAACTGGTTCCACTGCTGTATTGCTCTGACAGTGAGGAAACTTTTCCTAATATCTATTATCTAGCCTGAATCTGGGTTGCTGCAGCTTGACTTGATTATTCCTGTCCTACACTTTGGTATCAGCAAGAAGAGGTCTTAACCTTCCTCTTTCTGACAGTCTTTGAGCTACTTATACAGTGATATCATGTCCCCCATCAATCTTTTCTTCTCAAGGCTGAACATACCTAGTTCTCACAGTCTCTCCTCACAGGGCAGTGTTTCCAAACCTG